TTTGAAAAATAAGAACAGAGAACAAATTCCTTATTGATTTCAAGATTTAGAAAGCTACAGTAATCAAGAGTGTGGCATTGACATAAAGGTACACAAAATGCTTTATCTGGTTGGGATACAATAATAAAATACCATACACTGGGCAGCTTAAACAATAGATTTATTTCTCATCATTCTGGAGGTTAGGAAGTCCAAGATCAAGGTGCTGTCACATTTGACTCTTGGAGCATAGCTTCATTCTCTCTGTAGCTTTACATGTTGGAGAGAGGACACTGGTATTTCTTACCTTTAGGGAACTAATCCCATCACGGAGGCCCCTCCCTCATGACCTCATCTAAACCTAACCTCCTCAAAGATCCCACCTCCCTAACACCAGCCATAGGGCTTACACACATGACTTTTGTGGGGACACAAATATTCAATCCATAGCACTGATGTGGCATCATGAAGACTCTAGAAACAGACTCACAATCATACATACAACTGATTTTCCACAAAGGCACCAATGCAATTCCACCAAGGGAACAACTATTTTTGCAACAAATGATACTGGGGAAACTGGATATTCAGATAGGAAAAAGGGAATTTTGAAAGACATGTACTGTATAGAGTCCATTTATATATAGAACTTTAGGAAATACAAATTAATTTATAGTGACAGAAAGTAGAGCAGTAATTATAAGGATGGGGGTAGGGAGGAGCAGGAAGGAGGGGCTACTGGGGCCAAAGGCCATTACTCGGGGGGTGATGGATATGTTCACTGTCTTGATGGTGGGGATGGTTTCATGGGTTAACACACATGCCAAAATCCATCTAATCGTACACTTTAAAGATGTGTAGTCTATTATATGCCTATTATACCTCCATAAGTTGTCAAAGAAGGGTTAAAAAACCAAGAACCCCCAGTAGCCTTCATTTCCAGCCTGAAAGTTCCTAGTTGGTGGAAAAGGACTGAGTTTAACCTTCCTAGACACAAAAGAAGGCACTGTGCCATTCACAAATGCCCAAGGCCTTGAACTTGATGGTACTTCTAACATAAAAATAAGGATCTTCTGAAAAGCTGTCCAGGAATCCTGGAGGGTCTGTTATTGTGAAGTCATAGTTATATTGGGGCCAGCAAAAGACAAACCAGCTACAAATACCATGGCTAGTGGGAACTCCTGAGGAATATGGTGGTGGCCCCTGCTATGCTTCCCTTTTATGTTACCTCATCATGCACAGTGGACTTGAGCCATACAGAACCATATGTCACACCTCACAGACTTAAGAACTATCATCTGGATAGTTATTGTATAGACTACACTTTACAACATTGGTGGTTGTTAAGATGTCAATTACTATAGCAGCTATAGTTTACATTAATTTTCCTTCCTCCATCACAGAATAACTCATGTTTTGAAAACCTGCTCCTCACCTAGTACCAGCTAAAGCCACACTCTGGAGTGTGGCATCCTAAGCTCTCTACACTTGAGGTCTAATTGACCTTAAACCTAGAACAGTCCTGGAGAAATCCCTCAGCCTTTCATGGGTTCCCCCAACATACCAAATGCTCACTCTCCTTTCCTTCACCTGTTCCAATTCAAGCACTTCTCAGCAAACCCACAACAGAAGTCCCTCTACTTCCACTTCCTGTCTGAAGAGCTGGGCACTCTCACTTATGGGTGTGGATTCTGCCATGTTGTGTTGCCTGAAGTCTGGCAACAGAAATTGCCAAAGCCAGAGCAGCTATTCTCCAGGAGGTGATGTGGCAGCTTGTTAAGGAACATACCAGGCTGGCCAAATCTCCCTTCCTGGTCGCAGTCATGGTATCCAACCAGCTTTAGTTGGCTGTCCATAACCCAGTCAGAGGAGTCTATACCCTGTTGTAGGACCCCAGACAGAGCTCCATGCACCAGGGAACCCAAAAGGTTACCAAAACACTGGCTCTGGGCTCTTCCCAGATTCCTGGTGAAGGCTTTTCCTAAAAACTTTAACACAACTGCCTGTTTAAACATTCAAAATAGCCCCTACCTATTAGAGGGCTTCTTTCAAGGCCAACACTTGTAGAACTTCTTTATTTGCAGCCAAAAGAAGTGGAAGCAATCCCATCTCACAACAAATTCAGCCAGGACCACTTACCAGTTGCATGGAGATACTGCCACAGTATGTATACACCTCTTGGGAAAGCATTCATTCAAAGTTTCAAAGAGCAAATGGTCCAAAGGGGAAGGGGCCTAAGATTGGCATCCAGGAAAGATCCTGGGGAGGGGCAGCAGCTGGAGGAAGGAATGGAAAGCAGCAGGACTTTCCTGGATAGTTTAATCTTTACACTCTTTTGTCTCTCAAAAAGCAAGGGCAATCATCCCCATCTCCCACATAGCAGGAGGGATGGAGCCCAATTTACAGGCACCATACAAGGAAAAAAAGAGTCCTTTCCAGGCCCTCTCTTCCCTCTCTTATTCCATGCAAAACCCGTGTTGCATACCTGATTACCCTACCTGAAAGAAAAAACTACTCTTATTTGAGTTGTAGTGAAAATCTAATTAACAGGAACTAAATTACACTGAGAACAGGAGAAACAAAAAGACTAGCTTGCCATTACAAGTATCATTTACCTAGGCAGGCTCTAGAGGTTTTGGAGCTTTCCAGGGCACTCAGACAAAGTCAGAGAGCAGTGCCCTGTATCTCTCCTGGTAGACCCACTTTCTGCTGAAAATGCTACACATGATGCTTTCTGTAGGGTGTAGGACTAAGGTGAAAAAAGGGTGCTTGTGTTAAAAATAGAATTAGCTTATTATACATTAGAACCAATGGAATGTCACTGTCCTGAGAGAGCCAGCTCTTCTCCAGTAGAAGTTGGTGACTGTCCGGCTTGTAGGAACTGAATAGTTCCCTTCCCAGAGCACTGGAAATGGACATTAGAGTACATGGGACAAAGACCTTACACAGCCTTCTGCTATGGATACCTGCTCTATGTGGGAACTGGTTCCCTGCATCTCTGCAGGCCCTAGGAGATTGTCTGAGACTCAGAAAAAACCCAAATGCCAATTACCTCACCAGGAACTTCAGAGACATGTTCCTACTGGAAAACATAAAGTTGCAAATGCTTTGGATTGCCTCCACGTGAGGCTGGAGCTGAGGAGACTGAGCCCAAGTGCAAAATGTGCTGAGTGCGCAGAGTCCATTTCACTCGCATCTGCTAGTGCCAGACCTGGGCTGTTACAGAGGAAACAAGGCTGAACACGGCACACAGCTGTACGCTTATGGGGCACCAGCTTACAGACAAGAAGGCAATCATAGGACAAGGAAATAGGGAGCCACTGGACACAAGCCACCTTGAGACAACAATAAGTTACAGAACTCTGGAACCTTCCACAAAATAGTTCATATATATAAAACTTATATACATGTGCGTGTGTCTACATGTATGAAATTTTTGGAGTTGTCCTAATGACTGGCACTCCAAGCAGCATCCTTGGAAGGAACCTGGATTTTTAGGTCCTCCCACATTCTCCTGGCAGGAGGAAAACATCTTTGAACCTCCCCTGTCTGGCAGGAAAGTGCATGCTCCTCCTTGGGGTCCCCATGGGTGGCCTCCACCACACCTATCACTTACATACCCTTGGAGGGGCTCTCTCTTGGGAGTGTAGCAGGATGAAACGAGTGGTCAACTGACCAGGATGCTGGGCTGAGAATACCAAGGGGTCAGAATTCCCAGGCCTCCAGGGACAGTGTGGGTAGAACAGGACAGTGCCTGCTGGCAGCTGCCTCCAGTTAGTAGCAAGCTTTCCTCTTGAAAACTCCCCTAAGATTTCATAAAGTGCCTTCTGAAGGGTCTGCCCTGTCCATGGGGCTGAAGGGGGGAGAAGAGGTGCAGGCTTGCCACCACCTTATCAGATGTGGGCCTGGGATGGCCCCTTTCTCCTGCTTGAGGTCTTGTCAGGGGGTTGGGGAATTCTTATTTAAGGAGTGATTCCCTGCACTCTCATATGGCCAAAATCTCCATTATCAACTTACACTATCCCTGAATACAAAAACGTTCCAAGCAAGGGCACCTTGGATATTCTAAGAAATGTCTTGTGAAAGGCAGCTGCCCTGTCACCCAGATCCAACTCAGGAGCAGTTAAGTTTAAAGCTTTAGGCACTGGCGGGTGTGGGGGTAGGCAGAGAGGCCGGGACAGCCTTTGCTGGGTAGGCAGGTTTGGGGTCTGGTTGACAGAGGCAACAGGGCATTAGCTGGGGGCTGGTGGGCAGGGAGGAGACTGAAGCCAGCAGGACAATGGGGGCACAAATGTTGCCATGTCTTGTTCAGAGCCCACTCCTGTGAGGAACCACAGGAGGTCCATCCAGGGCTCCTCTCCTAGAGAGGAGAAGCTTAGGCTGTCTTGGTCTTATCCTTTGTGTAGAACGCAGGGCAGCCATTTCCCAGAAACCCCCTCTGAGCGGCAGTGAGGCTATGTGCAGCTCCTCCTCCGAGCAGCAGGGGGCGCCCAACAGGACCGGAATTTTCAGGCACAGCCTCCCACGGTTCCCCACACCTGCAGGGCTTTTCCGCGCTACTAGCTAGCTAGTAGGCTCGTGCCTTCCCTAGGAGCAGCAGTCTAGTTTCAGAGCTCTCTGCGTTTAATACGCCCTGAAAGAGTTAAAGTGCTTGTAGTGTCTTCTACGCAGAAACACTAACTCTTGGCAGGAGGCGAATGGCCCCGCCCTGGAGTGAGGACGGGGCCATTACCGTGTAAACTCCTCGCACGAGGCGAGGCGACGCTGCCTCCTCCCTCCACACAGCAGGCAGTTGTCCGCGGATGGGGGAGCGATTCCGCAATGTACAAAGCTCAGCCGGCGCCTCCGCACGCGTGCGTGGGCGCCTAGGAGTACCCTGCTAGGCTGGGCCAGGCCTCGGGGTGCAGTCTCTCAGCATCGACGGCCCCTGTCCCCCCCCTCCCCGCCCTACCCTTAGGGACAGAGCGCACTTGGGGAAGGGCGCGTCCTTCCACTCAAGAGTCGTGCTCTGTTTCTTGGCCTCAGGGAGAGGCTTTGCCCTGGGTCTTCCCAGAGCCCAGAACGCTGGCCCCGTGGCCGCCGTCGCTCCCCTCAACGAGTGACTTCCCCTCGAAAGCCGCCGCCTGGGGCTTCTCGCCGCCATGGGAGTGCCTGTGGCCACTCAGCTGCGACTTACTCTCGAAGGCCTGGCCGCAGTGCTCACACGTGTGTGGCTTCTGGCCGCTGCGGCTCCGCCGGGGCTCGGCCGAGCTGCTCTCGCCGCCCTCCTGGGGCCGCGGCCCTCGGTGCCCACGCCTCGGCTCAAGGAGCATGCATCCGCGCCTCAGCCCCTTGGCGCGGCCCCGGCGCTCGGAGGCCCGTATGCCACCGTGCACCGCCTGATGCTTGAAGAGGTTGGCGCGGCGGCCAAACGCCTTGCCGCACTCGCTGCACTCATAGGGCTTCTCGCCGCTGTGCACGCGCCGGTGCTGGCTGAGGCCAGAGCGGCCGCGGAACGCCTTGCCACACTCCTGGCACGCGAAGGGCTTCTCGCCACTGTGGCTGCGCTGGTGGTGAATGAGCTGCGAGACGCCCTTGAAGGCCTTGCCGCACTCGGGGCAGGTGTAGGGCTTCTGGCCGCTGTGGGTGCGCTGGTGCTCGATGAGGTTGGAGCTGCGGCTGAACGCCTTGCCGCACTCGCTGCATGCATAAGGCCGCTCGCCACTGTGGATGCGTTGGTGCTCCAGCAGCGCGAAGCTGCGCCGGAACAGCTTTCCGCACTCGCTGCAGGCGAAGGGCTTCTCGCCGCTGTGGATGATCTGGTGCTTGATGAGGTTGGAACTGCGCGTGAAGGTCTTGCCGCACTCGCCGCACGCATACGGCTTCTCACCGCTGTGGATGCGCTGGTGCTCCAGCAGCGCGAAGCTGCGCCGGAACAGCTTTCCGCACTCGCTGCAGGCGAAGGGCTTCTCACCACTGTGGATGATGCGATGCTTGATCAGATTGGAGCTGCGGCTGAAGGATTTCCCGCACTGTTGACACAGGTACCGTTTCTCGACGCCCTTGGAAAGCTGTTGCCTTAGAACCGGATTTTGTACAGAGTCCCCGGGACTTCTCTGTGCAGACACTATCTTGGTGCCTCCTGGCTGGGGAGGTGACCCTGCCACCTGGCCCCCTTTGCCGCCCTGAAAGTCAGGTCCTGGGAGTCCTCTTCCAGAATGTTTCTGTTTTGAAATGGCTGCCTTGCTCTTTATCCTCTCACCTGCAAAGACAAAGAGTGCCAGGCAGTGTCAAGTGTCACCCCTCTCTCGGACTCTATTGAGGGTTTTACTCTTCTTCACCTTGGCAGAAAAATATCAGGCAGGCAGACAGAAGGAGAGAGACAAGATGGACTGGAAATGGTGGCTGAAATGGTGTGAGGCAGCAGGACAGAGGCTCTCACTTCACCAGGATGGGAGGGAAGCCCTTGGGAGACAGACATCTGACACTAAAGACAATTTCCCAGCCAGGGTGGATGTGCCAAACCATCCTGGTGTGGTAGCAGCTCTTTCCTTTCTTGGGATTCTAGCAAGTGGGATGAGCACTCCTCACTCACCTGCATGTGATTCTGCCTCTGCTTGGCCTCTAAGGGAGCCTGCTACCCAAGGCCCCTCCCCTCGCTCCAGCTGGGACACCAGGGGAGGCTTGGAGAAGGCAAATCCTGTTCACAGAAATAAAGCAGGTTAGCAACACTATGGCTAAGGACAGAGTGACTCCTAAACACAGTACAGCCTTAACATCTGCAGATAATAGAAAGCAAAGAACTTTCTAGAAAGTGCCACTAAGAAAGTCCAGAGAAAGGTCACCCACAGCCATGCTCCTTGAAAGGTGAATGTCCCTGTTTCACCATCCAACTCAACTGAGAATCCTGAAGTTTCCTTGGAAAAAGATGGGTCCCTATCTGTCTGGTGAATGTCAGAGAAGCCAGGGGAAGAGCTAATTTCTCTCAATGGGGTCAGGTTACAGAATTGAAGTCTGTAGAGTCCAAAGAAAAGGCCTCAGTGCTAAATGGCCTCCTCACAACCCCAAAGGCTTTGGGATTTAGTGGGAGAGCCACCTCTAGATTTACAGCCCACTCCCAACAGCCAGGAAAATGCTGGGAAAAAGCAAGGCCTCAGCTCAGCTGTAGCCAATAACATGCTGGGCTGCAGGAGGGGAAAGGCCAGTCCCTGAGCTCCTCAGACACAGGAGGCAGGGCAATTGTGGCACTCTCTCAAAGCTTCTGCCACAGCCCCACCCACCCAACCTGTGACTCTTGGTTTTGCCCTTCAATTAGTAAAATTGACATCCCTCATGGTGTCAAAAAGACAAGAAGTTGGGGGCATGTTGACAGAGGAAGGGAAAGGCTGCCTGCTCACACCTGTCCCAGCTTCTTCTTGGATTCTTTGAGGCACATCTAGTGCACACTTAGTCCTTGCTTGGCACCTCCATGGCTTATGTGAGGAAATCCTGCTGCTAAATTCTACAAAGTGGGATGAGTGGAAAATGAAACTATTATAAAGATGAATCAAGTTTAGAATAGTGCATAGAAATATTGCAGCATAACTGGCATTATATTATAAGTAGAAAGATATTTAGTTAATTCATGACTTTATATACAAGATAACTGATTTGGCACTAAACCATTTAGCTGAAAACTCCTATTGAGATGACAGCTGGCCTACAACAGATGACTAGACTGGTGGAGATGGACAAATGCATTTATTCTTGGACTCATAGTAATTAACCAAAAAAAAAAAAAAAAAAAAAAAAAACCTCAGAAATAGAGTCCAGAGGCAGAACAGTTGGGCCTGGGTGTTTGTATATGGTAGGGTCACTTACCCAATGACACTAAATGGCCATAGTTCTCCAGCATCACCTGCTTGTAGAGGATTCTTTGTTTGAGATCCAGAAGCTTCCATTCTGTCTTTGTGAAGTACATTGCCACATCCTCAAATGATACTGGGACCTAAAATAAGCCATTCCTGCAGCTGTAGGGGAATTTAAGCCCTTGGGTCCCAGGATGAGCCAACAGCAACAGAATGTGGTTGTCCCCACCCCACCCCCAGAGAGCTCAGCAGGAAGGGCAGGCTGAGTTGTAAGCAGACCACTTATGAAAGAGGAGCTGACAGAAGTCAGGACACCTACTTTGTGGCACTCAGGAAAGGGGCATGATGCTGAGGCTAGCCTAAGCTCTCCTGAGTAGAATGGAAAGGCCAGAATCTGGAGGGGCATTGGAGACCGCTGAGGGAAGATATTGGGGGGGGGGAGGGCCACCCACTCACCTTGGGCCTTGTCCTCAGGAGAATGGCCGCCATCACCAGGCACCTGGAGAAGCTGAGGGAAGTACAGAGCCCTGGTGAGACCAGGCTGGCCTAAAGCACCAACCGGCTGCTCAGAAGCCAACCACAACTTGTTTCAAACCCTGGGTGGTTTTTCTTGTCCAGTGGAGCCGAGCAAGGTCGGGCTTTGGTGAGTGTGGTGGTGAGGTGGAGCAGGAACAAGCGAGTGGTCTCTCCCTGAGAGACCCAGGACTCAGGTGTCCCACTGAGTGTGGCTGCTGCACACTTGCCCACTGCACACCTTGATTACATCTGCAAAGACCCTATTTCCAAATAAGGATACCTTCACAGATAGACAGACCATCAACACGTCTTTTTTGGAGGGGCACAATGTAGCCCCCAACATGTTCCTAAACAGCCTCCATGCCGTCTTTTCCTCTGTGCAGTGGGCTGAGGGCCAGGGATCCCATGCCTACCTCTCACACCAGGCCCACCCATCTCACCTTCCAAGGGAGTCTGTCCTTTCTTTTTTAAATTTCCTTCTTTTATTAGCTCTATTCTCATCTGACTAGGACCCCCTGACCCTAAATTTCTAGCCTTTCTGAAGAAAAGAAGGATCTGTTGAAGTGGAATGAATGCTAGAACTATTGTCCATAGGGCAACTGGCCCAGTCTCCTCTGCAAATCAGTGTCAGTGGGAAAAAAGAGGCTGGGAAGACCCTTCTAGAGGGAAGTAGATTTAAGGGGCCCAACACCCAAGTGCAAAAAGTAACCTCAATAAGATGCTGGAGTGGGCTGGGGATGTGGCTCAAGCGGTAGTGCGCTCGCCTGGCATGTGTGCGGCCCGGGTTCGATCCTCAGCACCACATACAAACAAAGATGTTGTGTCTGCCGAAAACTAAAAAATAAATATTAAAAAAAATTTTTTAAAAAATAAGATGCTGGAGTGAATGAAGAGTCATCAAAAGTATTGGGGATGATGATGAGGTGGCCATCAGAGGACTAAAGGGGATCATCAGTGCTCATGTATTGAGTGGATAATGGCACTGAGTCATGTAAGAAAATGTCTTTTTTTCTTTTTGGTACTGGAGATTGAACTCAGGGGCACTCGACCACTGAGCCACATCCCCAGCCCTATTTTGTATTTTATTTAGACACAGGGTCTCACTGAGTTGCTTAGCACCTCGCTGTTGCTGAGGCTGGCTTTGAACTCATGATCCTTCTGGTTCAGCCTCTCAAGCTGCTGTGATTATAGGCATGTATCACTGTGCCTGGCCCTTTTTTCTTTTAAAATGTAACTTGAGAAGTGCACATATGTTGGCCCTACCAAAAGTAAAGTCATGCTAAGAAGTTATGGAGAAATGGTTAATTTGTATAACTATCCAAAGGAATTATGGGGGCTTAAGGTTTAGCTTAGTGGTAGAGTGCTTATTTATAGTGAGAGAAGCATTGGGTTTGATTCCCAGAGTGTACACAGTCAAAGTTATAAGTTTGTCTTGAGTTGATTTAAGTCTTATCTAACAGATCTGCTAATGGAAAAAAATTGGATCTTCAGATGTGTACAGGTGAAAAATTATTAAAGCTTATTTTCCTAAACTCACTTGGCTGTTACCCCATTAGGACCTTAGGCTACTATACTTAATCTTCAAGTAAAATTTGTATCTTCCAGATCACAACAGTACCATGGGTAAGCCCCATACCTCTTCTCAGACTCCCAGTGGCTCCAAAGGCTCATCTCTTATCTGACCCTTTTTGAAATAGTGTATGACAGACTGTTTCTGTACACTGGCTAGTCCTGAGTGTGCTGTCAGCCTAGATACCATGGTTGAGGCCCTCACTGACTTACAGCAACAGGTCAACTCCCTGGCTGCTGAGGTCCTACAGACAGGTGAGACTTGGCTATGATCACTGCTGCATAGGGGTGAATCTGCATACTGCTCCAACAGGAGTGCTGTTTTTGAAGCAACAAGTCAGGACAGATTGGGATAACATTCGCACACTAACCTTCCAGGCAGGCATCACAATTAAGGGAGAAGGCAGCCTAGGGCGGGTTCTCTTGTAAGGAGACTTAGTTGTGGTTCTTACTAGGACTATTAACCTCAATCCCACTTCTCTGGTTTGATTCCTGTTTGCTAAACCTCCTCACTAAGTTTATCTCTTTCCACCTACAGGCCATGAACCTGCAGAAGTCCCTGAGGTTTGCTGGGGACTATTAACTATCGTGCCTGAGGCCTCACTGCCATCATCATCTGTATCAGATCAAGTGGGGCAAAGATTCTACAGTGCTCACCTGCCAGCAAACATCTCCTGTAAAGCAAGGAACCCCAACACTCCTATCCCAACCCCTTGACACTTAGCAAGGACTCAGACTTCATGCCCCTCTCTAGCATGAAGTAGCAGAAGATGTGATCTGATGCCCCAAATCTGAAGGATTTCAGAGTTCTGAGTCCCTGATGGAGCAATGGTAGATTAGGTAGATAGACAGGAACAGGGGAGGTGGGGAAAGGAAACCCAGGTTCTTCCCCTGGGGGCACCCAACTGACTGTTACACTGTCCAGGTATCACTTTCTTGCAGTCAGACAGCTCCTTGTCAATATAGAGAAAATGGATATGATCTATGCTGGAAAATAATTTCACCATGGCAAAACTGGTTCAGACAGAGTAAGCTCTGGTGGAAACTACACTGACCAGCCCAAATAAATAATTCATGGGTCTGGAGGATACTAAACAGGCCATAAGCACCCACAGTGCAGAAGACACAAGGCTGTTTCCTCTCTTGGAGGAGTTTCATTCCAAATTAAAAAAAAAAAAAAGCACCCTTTATACATTTGTAAAACAAAAAACAGAAAAAAACACCATAAAATGTTAAAGAAATGTGTATTGAAGCATTTGAGGAGGAAATGGTATGCAACTCGCTAAAATTATACATATATATGAAAAAAGGATGAAGCAAAATAAGGCAAGATGGCAATTACTGCTAAATATGGAAGGTAGGAACCTGGGATTCTCTAGACTCTTCTTTCTACCTGTCTGTATACTTGATAGTGTTTGCTATAGTTTGGATCTAGAATGTTCCCCAAAGGCCCGTGTGTTAAAGGCTTGGTACCCAGGGTTAAGGTATTGGGAGATGAGGTCTAGTGGGAGGATTTTAGGACAGTGAGGGTGTGCTATTGAAGTGAATAGTGGGACCCTGGCCCCTTCCTCGTTCTTTTGTTGCTTCTCTGTGTGGTGGTGAGTGCTGTTGCTCTGCCATGTCCACATGCTATGACATACTGCCTTGGCATAGGCCCAAAGCCAGGGGGCCAGTTGTTCACAGATGAAAGTTCCAAACCTGTGAGGCAAAACAAGTCTTTTCTCTTTATAAGTTATCTTAGTTATTTTGTTATAGTAATGGACAACTGACTAACATGATGTTCACAAAATGGAAAAAAGCTATGGAAACCATTTTGGTCATTCCTCAACGAGTTAAACACAGTTACCATACAACCAGCCAATTTTATTCCTGGGTATATACTTACAAGAATTGAAAACACATGCTCAAAAACTTGTATACCCATGTCCACAGCAGCAGCATTGACCAAAGCCAAAAGATGAACACAACAAATGTCCATCAGCAGATGAATGGATAAACAAAATGGTCTGTATATACAATGGAATATTATAAAAAGGTTGGAAATTCTGACACATGCTACAGTGTGGGTGAACCCTGAGGACATTTTGTTAAGTGAAAAAAGCCAGACAAAGACATAAAAGGCCACATATTGTATGATTCCATTTATATGATGTAATACGATATTTCTCAAGAGCTCTCTTGACCTAGTTTTGAAGTTGTAGCTGGAAACTCTCTTCTTTCTGTCCTTCATGGGCAATGTGTAAGCTCCCATTGTCCACCACTTCTTGTACCAGGATCCAACTCTCTGGGGCCACTAAACACACCCCTATGGACTCCTTATTGGGCTCCTACACTCTGGGGCCAGGTTCCAGACAACTAGGAACAAATACAATACCCCAGACCCCACAAAATTCTTCAAATTTGCAAATCCACAGACAGCTACCCCACTCACTGACTAGGCGTAAGTTGTCCCTACATCTCCAGCTTGCTGTTGCCCTGTTACTGGGTGAAACCCCCTGTGGCCCCTTGTGGCAGCCTTCTCTTGTTCAGAGCTTCAAGAATCTGAGTTCTGCCTTTTTCAGAGCCCAGTGTTACTGTGCAGTGAGCCACATCCAAAAAATCTGATGCAACATATGACATGTTCAGAATAGGCAAATCTGTAGCCCCAGAAAGCAACCAGGGGCTGGGGGCTGGAGATGGGGAAAGACTGCTAATGGGTCAGTGGTTTCCTTATGGGGTGATGAAAACTACATACAGGTGGGGTCACACCACACCGAATATACTACATGTCATTGAATTGGTCCTTTTAAAATGTTAGAGTTTGTGTTGAGAATCTCACCTCGATTTAAAAAAGGGGAGGGGGTCCTACTGGAATTGTTCAGATGCTCATAGGCCACACATATATTTTCATTGTGATACACTGTCAGTCACTGGGTGCCCTGGGACTCTAAAGAATCACTGATAATTTCAAGGTTTTCAGGATAAAATTATTGTTTTGAAACCCAGCATAAGCTTGTTTTTCACTGTCATAACAGTTCTTCAAGGTTATTGTCTATTTTGGAAAAACTGGAATGAGGAGGAGGTATCTCTAGTTCCCCCACTCAAGACATAAGAGGTAGGTCTGATCCCAGATGGGGCAGAAAGCTGTCAGGTAGTGATCCCTGAGAGACCCACCCCATGGTCAGGATTCCACCTAGTGGAGGCAAGGCCACACGAGGCTCCAAGTGTCTGTCTTTGAGATCTACTATGGAAAGTTAGCTATAATTTCAACTTTGGCAAAAGGACTTGACAGGCCTGTACTCACAGATCCCAGCAGTGACTTCAGGGCAGGCAGGGTGGCATTCCCTAGTATGTGCAGAAGGAGGCACCTGGAGGGCCGCCAGAGCACAGGACAAGTTGAAGGATGATCCAGGCCCTAGAGCTCA